TAGTATTTGTTTTGTGTTGACAGAGGGCAATCAACTGTTTTAAGTGGCTTCATCCTACTGCACAAGGAAGAGTTTTATCTAGTACTGTGACGAGTAACTGGGAAACTTCTGTCAAGTTCAAGGCAGGGAGCCTGACACCTCCAAATGGTACTGCCAAATTTTTAATGTGACAGAAAGGAGAAATAATTAATTTCATGATTAAAATTCATGATTGGAATGCAGCTATATTATCTGTGCTTAATATATTTAGTTACTGTACATGAAAATTTAAATCAGATTTACATTTTGTTTGGTCTAACTACTGCTTTTGTTGTACAGCTATTAGCATGCCACTCAAAGGTAAAGTGTAACTTTGGATCTGGAAAAAAATTAGCCTCTGTGCTGCAATATAGGCAAGAATTTCACCCAGAAAATCAAGCACAAATAGGTCTGAAGCCCATTAAATCCAGAGGACACCAATTTGATTGAGACTCATTTCTATCCGACTTCAGGCCGGGTTTTGATCTGAAACAGCCTTGGTCCCATTTAGGGATTTATTTTAATGCTAAATGTTAAGAACAATGTATCAAGCACGACCCATAAAGGTAATGTTTTGCATTGTCACCATTCCTTACTGCAGAATTAGTTCCAGAAAGGTTATTTTGTATGAAACCAATGGGTCAGAACAGGAAATTTGGAATGAAACAATAATTATAAAATTATATTCATATTTACACTCATATGCATGCTCATGCACATGCGTGCATGGGCGTGCACACACACACACACACAAACACATACACACTACTACTACTACTACTTGTGCCAAAGCATTATGAGGTAGTTGAATTCTATTAATCACTGATAGTCTTTTATCTCTTTTCCAATGGAATTTGGGGAAACTGTGATAGAACAGGTAGTTCTCAACTTACGACCACAGTTGAGCCCAAAATTTATGTTGCTAACTGAGAAATCTGTTGAGTAAATTTTGAACCATTTTACAACTTTCCTTGCCACATTAGTTAAGTCAATCACTGCAGTTGTTAAATTAGTAGAACAGTTGTTAAGTGAATCTGTCTTCCCCATTGACTTGGCTTATAAGAAGGTCACAAAAGGCTTGTAAGAAGGTCACATCACATGACCTCGGGACGCTGAGACCGTCAAAAGTATGAACCACTTGCCAAGCATCTGAATGTAAATCACATGATCATGATGATGATGGGATGGTCATAAGTATGAAAAACAGTCATAAGTCACTTTTTTCAGTGCCGTTGTAACTTTGATCACTAAGTGAACTGTTGTAAGTCGAGGATTACCCATACTTGTTTAAAACCTGGAGGAGGAGTAATTTGAATAAAAAGCAATAAAATGAAATTGCCTGGAGATATGGAAATAGAATGTGGTCTGTTGATTCCAGAAAGGACTGCTTCCTCTAGGCAGAGCAGTAAAGTAAGCCCATCACTTGGAAATATTCCTTCCTGGCTGATGGGAGGTTAACTCTGTTCCAGAAGTATTGCCATGCCTACTTCCAGTTGCAGTTGTTTGCAGTAAATATGCTCTGTTATGGTACTGCACAAGTACTGCTATTAAAGAAAGTTTGGAAACTGTAGCTGGCAGACAATTCAATGATTTGGCTGCTGACCTATAGTGAAAGATCTCATTGCAATGATCCCTAAATACCATATTAGTAGGCATTGACTGGATTTACATTTTGCGTTGAGCCATCAAGCAGTTTATATTCAACTTTGGTTTAGGAGGTTGTACAAAGCTAGCCATTGCAATTTATAAACCGGTGTAACATTTAATGTGTGTGTGAATTCAGTCAATAGTGGTTTATTTTAGGGCTGTCAAACTCCTTGCCTCTGGGCCGAATGCTTCATGCGCTGGCCACGGCCACGCCTGGGTTAGTGAAGGACAGGAAAGAACCAATACATCACGTGATATCCCCGTGACGACGTAAGTTTGACGCTCCTGGTTTATTTAGTAAACTATGACTATATAAATAATGACACAATTCTTTGTGTGAATTTAGTCTGTTTGTCATTGAATCTGATTCACCATGTTAGCTTTGATATATAAAAAGTTAAGACCGAATATTATTCTGCTCATGCATTGAAATCTCCTGGGAGTCACTTTTGCTGATAAGGTAATCAAACAGAACTTCTGGACTCATATGGCACTCTCTGAATAATGGCATGCCTGCTGTGGGATGTGCAATATATTTCTCCTGGAGATTAGATTGTATCTGCATCAGCTAGCTTTTGCCATTAGGTGAAGGTGAAGCTTTTCTGTCAGTCCCTTGATTAAGAATTGGCCCTTTTGCATTAATATAAAACACGATTATGAATTTTATTGATGTTTAAAAATAATATGTATGTATGTATGTATGTATGTATGTATGTATGTATGTACGTACGTACGTACATACGTACGTACTATGATTGTCCTGGGAGTTTGAGCTAAAGGGAGAGATATAAGAAATGATTCAAATAAATATATAATTTATTTAGGTCCAGTAATTTTTCTTTCTCAGTT